ACTCAACAAAATAGTTAGAAACGGAACAATAAAAAGCCAAGGCAGTAAACATCTATATTGCAGAGGTCTAGGTCTCCGGAAACAGCTAAATGGGTTTACGAAGCAGTTTAGAATCCAGGGGTGTTTTTAGAAACTCATTTTTATTAAAAGTTTTTAGACTCACTCTAATGATGAAATGTTAATTAATTTATGATTAATGACAATTTCTGTAATGATTTTCAATTTCTCCACCTTTTGCATCTTTAAGATATAATTGTAGACTTGAAATGGCCTTTTCAACTTGGGAAACAACATTCAATACAGGCAGATTTTTCTCAAAAAATGTCATTTTGAATGTAAGAGTTTTCTAACATTTTTGGCAATTAAGGGATAAAAACAACATTTGAATGACATTACAAGTAAAAGTTTTTAACGTTTTAAGATTTTAACGTAAGTAAAAATAAAAAAATGGAAATCTTTCTTTCCATCATATTAACTTTTTCACGATATTTAATTATAAATCAATTTATTCAAAAAAAAACTTGAATAAATTGATTTATTATTAAATAAACCAGAATTAAACCAGATTTTGAAAAACATACCAGAACAAACAAAAAAAGACCAAAGACTTTAAAATAAACCAGATTTAAGCCAGATTTTCTCAAATAAACCAAAACCAAAATTTTAAGCCAAACAATAAAAAAACAAACTAGATTTAAGAAATCTGGCTTAAAAAAACACCAGATGGCAACCCTGCTTTTTATTTAAATGTAAAGCAATAATTTAAATGTATTCAAATAAATTTGTGAAATTATTTTAGAAAAAGCTTTATTGAAAGCATCATTTGCGAATTCTCTCTGCTTCATCATTTGTGAATTCTTTCTGCATTATCATTTGTGAATTCTTTCTGCATCATCATTTGTGAATTCTTTATGCGTCATCATTTGTGAATTCTTTATGCATTATCATTTGTGAATTCTTTCTGCATCATCATTTGTGAATTCTGCATCATTATTTGTAAATTCTTTCTGCATCATTATTTGTGAATTCTTTCTGCTTCATCATTTGTGAATTCTTTCTGCATCATCATTTGTGAATTCTTTCTGCATCATCATTTGTAAATTCTTTCTGCTTCATCATTTGTGAATTCTTTCTGCATTATCATTTGTAAATTCTTTCTGCGTCATCATTTGTGAATTCTTTCTGCGTCATCATTTGTGAATTCTTTCTGCTTCATCATTTGTGAATTCTTTCTGCATCATCATTTGTGAATTCACAAATGATGATGCAGAAAGAATTGATGCGTTTGATTCAATATCATGAATAAAAACATCAAGTTCTAGTTTTGCTTTTTATTTTAGTTGTAAAAAAAAAAATTTAGTTGTTTAATATGTTAAAGAAAGAAATTTAATTGTTAAATATGGATGAATGGTTGAATGAATTTTGATTAGGCTATAAATGAGGAAACATAAGCAGGGGCGGGTTTTGTCATTCTCTTAGGAGGGGGTTAAATTGGTCTTTTATAAAAAAAAAAAAAAAAGGTCCGCATTTTTTCATTTATAAGTGACTTTCTTTTTTAACTTTTTGTACTTTAGTGTAATAATTAAGTTCATATACGTATAATTACATATAATAGTCAATTTCATTCTTCAGTATAGTAGTCCAATTCTGTATAATAGTCAATTTACAAAAGAGAAATTTCTGAAAAAAAGTCCCAAGGGATGGGGGTCTACTACCCCAAGCCCCCACCCCCCACCCTTCCATCCCCTAAAATCCACTACTGAACATAAGATATTTTATCATAAAGATCTTGTAACACATTGATAACAAAACTTTTTCAAAAGTTTTGCCTATACCTTTAAGCAATACCAATACTGGTTATTCTGAATATTGATTACCATTCTTAAAGGTTGCTCCTTGAAGGTCCTCTGTATAGTATGTGCTTAAGTTATATGATATTATATTAGTTATATGATATTATATTACTTAAAACACATTTCAAACATTGAATAAAAAAAGTGATTTTTCAATGATGAAATAGGTGAAATAAAATATTCTTAAAATAATGATTATATCTTTACTTCTGTCGACAAATAATTTGAATGATTAGACAAAATTCAGAAAAGTAGAAAAAATTTTACCTATCATGGTAAGAAAACATATAAGATTTTCCAGAAGAAAAAAAAAATCATTTGAAAAGCCAAGTTCTTTAAAAAAGCATACATTTTTGCAGTGTTTGTCTATAATTTATAAAGGAATGAAAAATTAGGTTAAACTTGACTGGAGGATTGAATGTTAAATGGACTGATATTGTAAAACTAAGTTTATTTAATGTAACTAGTTTGGTTTAAAATTGTTGAAATTTATGAAATTTGGTATACGTTAGTTTTATTATCGTTGTTATTTTTTATTTGTTTGTTCTCCTTTAATTTGTTGTTTTCTAAGACTTAGGGAATCGATTAGTTTTTTTTTCACCACTGTTTTACAGGCTACATAAGTTTGAGAAATCGTCGGTAATTTGTTTTTGGGAGTTGTCGTAAAAAAATTTAAGCTTGTGTTATTTAGGCATTTTACAAGAAGTTTGGTTTTCAAGAATCAAAAAAATTTGATAAGAAATAAAGAATAGCCAAATTCCAGTTAATAATATTGCACAATTTTAGAGCTTAGAAAATAAAATGGCTGGAAAATTAGGTTTAAATATTATGATTGAGCCTCTTTTTTTAATTACTTTTTTATAACTTAAATAATAATTGAAAATATCAGAATTTTTTAACTAAGTTTATATAAACAGAATGAACTTTTAAATAACAAAATTACCATTTTCTTTTTCTTGCTAAATTTACACGCCAGCATTTTAGCATGTTTACATTTACATGCTAACATTTTTGCGACTTTTTACCCTTAACTAGCATTTTCAAGCTCGAGGGAAAATTTCATATTTTGATTATAGCAGCTGTTATAATAATTTGTAATTTTCAAAATGTTTTTTCAACACATTGTTTTATTTAAAATCCGTTGTATTAAACATTTTTTTGAAAGAAGAACTTTTCTAGATTTCAATAGGTGTCCAACCTTATCAAAGTTATTTACTTGTCAAAATTTATTTAGGTTCCTGCAACAATATTTGTTTACATGCCCGCTACAATACTTTTTGGTATAATAAAATCTCGGTGATCAATTTATTTTAACAAAATGAAGTTTAGCGCATTTCAATTATATAAATCGAAAACCAATACGTCTCCGACAACTTTTTTTAAAAATTTAAAAATAACAAAATATCAACGCTTAATGAATTCGTCAGAAAAATATTAAAAGTATTTGGCCAAGTTAACGAGAACTTTTCTTTTCCATTGGTACATAAACTTGTTAGACATTCGATGTGAATTACTCTATTATTAAATAAAGTGAAACACTTTGAGGTTTTCTAATAATTCAAATTCTCGACAAAATATTATTTGTTTTAATAACAACATAAATCAAATGTTAATGGTTCGTTGATGTGGAATTTCTGGAACGTTCAATAGCAAGAATTAAAATGCTTGTGTTTATATGCTTTATCGCCATTGTAGAGATAGAACATCAATACGATGCTTTCGTTTTCCATGCTCAACACGCTATCATCAATGTTAACTCTGTGTTCATACTCTCTATGCTTATCAATGTTGATATTTTATTGAAATATTAACTCTATTTAATATATTCCGTTTTACTATTAAAATAATTAAATATTATATTTTGATATTTAAAGTGAAATATATTTATTCATAAACATTAACATCAGTGTATTTTTGATTAGAGCAAACTTTTGTATTTCAAATGCAATGTTTAATTAATATATTAGGAAATAAAATTAAAACAATAACTAACCAAAACACATTGAATAAAGTCAAAATTGATATTATAACGAGAAATTGACCTTTGTGTAATTTATGAGGTATCGCCAACATTGCTATCCATGTTCCTATAACACCACCGCTTAGTAATAGTATGTAAAATACGAGATCGACGATTCTTGATTTTAACTTTGTTCTAGTGAAGGTTATAAAAAACGGATACGCTTCAATGGAAACATCGTTATCTTCATAGTCGATAAAAAACGGTATCGGTGTAAGCCTTTTGTTGTTTTTTGTTGCGATGCTTTTATCAATAAGAAACGCAATTACTGTCATTATATTGATTATCACCAGGTACACAATCAGTGCTATTTGCATTTTACCAAAAAACACGCATCCTCCAAAAAATGTTGCAGACATAAGGTATATTATTATAAATGTTATAACGCATGCTTGTGTGAATATGTAGTGAGTGCACATTACGGTTCTAATTAATATTTCCAACTTTGAATTTTGAAATCCGCCCCTAAAAATATTTTTAGCAAAAATTATACTTTTAAAATTATACTTTATTTATTATTATTTTTTTATAACTTTCTTCTTTTTTTTTAGTGACATTGTAGCAAGTTTCTTAGTATCCAATTTAAACACATTTTTTTCAACTTTGTAAATGTTGCGATGAATTTGATTATTGATGAATCTTTTATTAGAATATCCTAGCATTTATTATTTATATTCATTTATACGCGTTTTATTTATATACCTTTTTTAATGTTTTTTGAATTATTGTGTCACCGAATGTTTTGAATTGCATTATAGTTTTTGTTTTTTTTTAATTATTTAGGAAGTTAATTAATTAGCAACTGATTATCATGTGGATTTGATATATGAATGATAATATTGTGTATATATATATATATATATATATATATATATATATATATATATATATATATATATATACACACCTTTTATTTTGGACCAATATTATAGTAATTTTTAATATATTTTATAAATATTTATTAAATAATTTAGTAATACTTTTTGATAATTTTATCATATATGTTTCGATTCAAGCAACTCCAAAATTATTACTTCTTGTTCCCCGTAAATTTTATTTTAAAATATGGTGGAATTTATTTCGTGTCTTACCAATATTATTTTTGGGATGTTTTATTTAAATTTTAGACCAAAGGCTTACTGACTGCTACTTGTCGCAGAGCTGTGGGTTGGTTGTAATCTTATTGTTTTCATGCTGTTGACATTTATTTCTTTTAGAAACAGTTTTGCAGAATACTTAGAAGTAAATTAGTTTTGTAATCTTCTGACATTTGTGACACGATTAACATGAAAAAATTTGAATTTTAAATTATTTTCTTAGATTGTGGCGCCGGAATCGGACGCGTTTCGAAACATTTTCTGCTTAAGCGGTTTGAGGTTGTTGACATAGTCGAGCAATGCGAAAACTTTACTAATAATATAAACAATTACATGGTAGGGTTATACTTTTTTCATTATCACACAAAATTAACATTGAACAAAATCGATTCATTTTTCCACTAGTCTTAGTAATAAGTAATGAAATTTAGACAAATGCGTGTTAACACGATTATCAGTTATATAAATAAGATTTAAAATTTTTAATCATATCTTTAGGATGACGTTAATCTTAGCTTGAGAATTGAAAATATTTACAATGAGGGGTTACAGGTATATTTATAAAGATAGAATAATATTTAAAAGTGAATGTTTCAGAGGAAAATTCCTGTTATTTTCTCAACGTATTTTACTCAAGCATACTAAAGTGATTATTTTTTAGTTTTTTTTTTCTTTTTTTCAATTTATATAAAATGAGATTTTGATTTAGACATTCAATCCTAAACAAAATTACTATGACGTCATTTGGATCCAATGGGTCATTGGTCATCTTACTGATGGTTAAAATATTTGTTTTTTTTTGAAATTGCTTTAAAACAATAAATTATTTTGCTAATGTGTAAGATGCCAAATCACACTTTGAAACATATCAGTTACTATATTTGCTAACATATTTGTAAAGATAAGCTAATTTGTTAGGACATACCCAAAAGACTTTTTTAAGTTTGTAATTTTTAGAAGATTTGATTTCTTTCATTAAACGGTGTCAAAAGGGCCTTACGAATGGAGGTTGCATTGTTATAAAAGATAATATCGCGGCACGGAATCCTGTATTTGATCAAGACGACAGCAGTGTAACCAGGTATAGTCTTTTATTATATATATATATATATATATATATATATATATATATATATATATATATATATATATATATATATATATATATATATATATATATATATAGTTTTTTTTTTTTTTTTTTAACATCTTCGCTTCCAACAAAGCTACAAGCAACCACTATTAGAATTGGAAGTTACTGGAAGAGAAAAAATGAAGATTGTAGAGCAAGATAACGGTTTACAGACGACTTAAAAGATCGCAAATTATATGAATTAGGAAAGCAAGTTGAAGGCAGCGAATTCCAAAGAACTGATGTTCGAGGAAAAAAGCTAGAGGAATAAGAATTTTTGGAGCACTTAAGAACAGTCACAGAAAAAGGATGAGACTTGATTGAATGCCGAGTAACACTAGAATGAATTTTAGTAGATGGCATAAGAGACGCTAGCTCTTTAGAGCCCATTATAGTATTTGAAGAAAAGAGAAAGAGAAGCGACGACGTGATAATGGTTAGAGGTTGGCTCTAAGAGCAGGTCCAACTATGTTTACAATGCGTTTTTGTACCTTGTTTAAGCGAGAAAGAACATCATTAGAAGATCCACCCCAGATATGACAACAGTATTCCATACAAGGCCGGATTTGACATTAATAGAGATAAAGAATAGAATCCGGAGTTAAATGTGTTGAGCTCGATAAAGAAATGCAACCTTAGCAGAAACTTATTTTGCAACGGATTTGATATACGGTTTCCAAGTAAGATCGGAAGTAAGACTTAATCCGAGATGATGAAGGGTAGACTGCTCATCGAGTTACCGTTCATAAATATAGGAAGATATAAATTATTGCGATAACGATTGGCTGAAAAAATAGTGTTTTATCTGAATTTAAGTTCACCAGCCACTGTGAGCTGTAGCAGAAGTGAGCAGGATATGAAGAAGAGTGCTGTCCATCGAGGACAACTTGTATACTACGATTATGGAGCAGACCAGCATGCTAGCCAAACTTTATCAAAAGCCTTAGAGATGTCAAGAGCGCTAACCTTAACCTTGAAAGTATATATATATATGTATATATATATATATATATATATATATATATATATATATATATATATATATATCCCCGTACCGTAGTGAGGCAGTCGTCGGGTGCAATCGACCCTACTTTAATAAACCAAGTGCTCTTTGTCTCGTCCAAAATATATCAAGAAAATCAAGAAAAATATTTATTTGTATATATTTTATGTTTATTTTTATATATATTATATATATCAACGGATACGTTAGAGTATGCATAGTTAGTGTATGCGTATTTAGATATGACATCTTAAGTATCTAAAGAAAAAAGTTTCATTCAGCATACTTAAAACACTTAACATTACAAATATATTATTTTAGAACGCATCAAGACTTTATAAACCTTTTTAAGAAAGCAGATGCTACCCTGTTATACAATGACATACAGAAAGGATTCCCAGCTCATCTATTTTCAGTAAAAATGTAAGAAAAACCGTTATTTTTAACAAATTTTTTTCTTTATATATTTTGCGAATTCTAACTTTTGTTTATTTGGTTGTATGAAAGTGATTCTTTGATTTATTGTTCTAAGCTTAGATGTGTCTATCTATTTTTTTAATTGTAGGTATGCTCTCCGCTGAAACCAAAAAGTTGCCAGAGCGACTTTAAATTCCATTAGTCCGTTAAAATAGCAGTTTTTCGTTATTCACTGAATAAAGGGCTTTGTCCTGTCAAAGTTTTAATGGTTTGTCCATTTGGTTGAGTTTGTCTCTATAAACTTGTTTTTCCTTGTATAATCAGATATTGCATCTAATTTTTTCGTTTGCTTTCGGGTTTTTTTCTTTTTTGTTTTTTTTTAAGCTTATTTTTTGGCAAATAATATGGGACGCGTAGGCGTTCACTCCTATAAGAAAAACTAATTATCAAAAATGAAATTAAGTTTATGAAGAAAGACGGCGTAAGACATGCAGACATCTTATTAATAAAATTTTTAGATGTGTGGTGTGTAACCGTGTTTTGAAATCATGAATGTTGGTTTCAAAAAATCGAAAAAAAATCCAACTTTTTCCATTCTTTTATTCTAAACATTCTGAACAAGTTTTGAAAGTTGAATGCCATTCTTTTAAGAGTAGTTTAATCCTGTCCTGTCATTTCAAACAAATACCTAAAAAATATATATATATAAAAATATAAATATAAAATTTTTTTTTTAATTATTAACCAAGGCAGTACTTTTTATTTCATAAATAAATTCATTTGAAATTCTCATTGAGGATTATACGTAACACTTGCTTCTTTTTTTAGTTTAGTTCTTTTTTTATTTTACTTCTAAATTAGGTATTTCATTACAGTAGACATTATTCTAGGTAGTTAATTACACTAACAATTACTCAATTTTTTCAAAAAGTGGAGATAAAACAATAATTCTAACGTTGCGAAGTGTTTCAAGATGCTATTTTTTAATTATCAACTTTCTTCCAATATGGTTGTTTTAAATTAATTGTACCGAACATCATCAAAGTTATGTTTTTTAAAATCATTTTTATTGTTCGGACTTTTCAAAACAGTTTAATGTAAGGGTAATCCTTAGTTTTTATGAATCAGTAACAGACAATTTTGATATTTTTGGCTGTTAACCTTGAATATTTGGTATCAGATAAACCATTCTCTGATACCTTATGTAAATCTTACTTTGTACTGCAATGTAAGTAAATAGTCATGCATCATAAAATTCTCTAACTTTTTGCCTCATAAAATTCTCCCACTTTTTGCAATAAAGTTGTAACAAATAATTCACGTTCGGTTCATAGTTGATATTGCAAAAATTAGTTGTTTAAACATTTAATATTTCGTAACAACTTTTTAACTAGTAATCTTTTATACAGATTGTGTAAATGTAAATATGTAATGGTTATTGTTAGACTAATAGAATAAAATAAGAGATTTTATTTTATATATGGTGGCTGTTTGCTTAAATTCTTTGAGATGTCCTTTGGAAAACTTTTTTTATGTTGTAAAAACATTGTAAAAACTAATCTTTTACAATGTTTTTACAACATTAAAGTTTCGGCCGGAGCTGGCAGAAGACATGGTCTTATCATCCAGCTGATAGAAGACATGGTTTTATCATCCAGCCCCCAAATGGATGTTTTTAAAATTTTGTTACAGTTCTGAAATTTGTTTCTTATTGTGATTATCCACCTTAAGGTGGATAACCACAAAAAAAAACAAATTTCAGAACAAAATTTTAAAAACCTCCATTTGTTTCAAATAGGTACATATATTTCTTGCAACGTAATTATCGCTAAATGCGTAGATCTTTCTTAAAAAAGCAGAAAGTTGTTAAAATTACGTGAAAATGAAGCATTTAACACCTACACTTGCAACACGATTTTTTAAGCTATAGTAATGTTTAAGCTTTGAAACTTAGCATTTGTCTGTCAACTCTTGAAACAAAGGGAATGAATTAAAATCTCAAAAAACAAACACTATTTAGTCTTTTTATTTAACATTTTTTGCTTTTTGCAATATTTTCAGGGGGTAGAGCTATGTCAAAAAACTAAAAAGGCAAAAAATCAATGCATTTTTAAAAAAAATTTTACATTCATTCCCTTCATTTAGGTATTTTGAATAACTCCTGAAAATTTGAAGTAAAGTGGTTGACCCAATATTAAGATATCATTGCATGTCAATTGTAAGAATCGTTAAAATGCAATTCTGAGAAAATAAGAAAAATAAAATACAAAGCATAAAAAATTTAAAATCCACCTGATAAATAAGCTTTTTGTGATGAAGTTTCTTTTAAATTATTATTCCAACCTTTTTTTAGTGTTTTTAACTTTTCTCTTCTTTTTTTTTACTTTGACATCATCTTTTTTTAAGCATGTTTTTTAAACGCTTTGCATCTTTTAATTGAAATGCCAATGAGTTTTTAAAGTCAAATTTTATATTAAGAAACTTAAAAACTCTGTTAAGACCGTATTTATCATCATTGAAATAAAGTATTGCAGAATTAACACCTACTTCAAGCAAAAATCTTGTAACAAAAATATTTTTTAGACATCGAGACCATATTATGTTATTAAGTCCTTCATTACAGTTTTGTGTCCATGAATGCATTTTTTAAGAAAAGAATCAGCAGATAAATCATCAAAATCTCTCTTTATAACATCATAAATCCATAGAGGAATATTTACGTTAGCCTTGTAATTATCAATTCCATCTTGATAATTCTTCCACCTACACCAACTATTTAATCCTCTAGGACATAGTATATGACGCCGCATTTTGTCTGGAAAGTTAGTACAATCATTTAGAATAGCTCTTATACCTTTTTTCATTTGGTATACTTTTTCATCATCGTTTAAACTTTTATTGTTTGCAGTTTCTCTTATCACCATACCAAAATAGTTTTTAATAGTGTTTATTGAATTATTGGTAAAGTTTCCAACACCTGTTAATTTTTTTCCACAAATATTTTGCTTTCTTCGCTCTCTTAAACGATTTCCCACACGCTTTTGTTTATGCCCAACACATTCAAGTTTTTGCAGTTCAACGCCATATTTACTATTAGCTTACTATTATCAACATCATTGAATGATGAAGAATCACCATCACCCAAATAGTATTTATAAATTACCCCATAGTTATCTACAGATCTAGAAAATATTTTAACTGCACCAGCACTTTCCATAGCTCCTGAAGATTTGTTATGATTCAGATGACATTTTTGATTATCTTTCCAACAGTTGTACATAGGATGATTCATGTTGTTTTTCCATTATTGGCATCCTCTGCAATATTAACTAAGCACTTCAAAGTCAATCCAACTCCTTTCGTTTATAGCTGTTACTACTCCATTTAAAGAATTATGGCCTCGTTTTTGCCACGCGCCATCAATAGAAAAATTAATCAAAGCTTCTCCAGTAGATGTTTTATTTGTTAAACTATTTTTAATTTTATCTAAAGCATTTTTCATAGGTTGTAATGCAGCTAAATGGTAAGCCTTTGATATTGTTTTCATTGCATCATTGAATGCATTTTTGTTCATACATGACAAACTGATTATACGAGAAAAATCTTTTATAGCCTCATGCCCTTTACCTATTTCACGAAAAGCTATTCTCACTTTCAAATTCACTTCAAATAAATTTTTTCCTTGCTTTGAATTACTTTTGTAAAGCTCATTTGAAGTGTATCTGTTAAACTCATATTTACATTTTTTGCAACTAATAATTAATTTGTGAGAAAACTCCATTCTAAGTTTGGAATCATCATTAATAAACATATTACTTTCACAATTTGGACATATCCAAATTTCTCAATGATATCTTTCAGAATTTTAAAGTTAAAAAGAATTTAGTAACTGTTTTCACTGACTGTATTTTAGCTAAACTTGAGCTTTTTAGAACTTGAACAAGTTGGTTGAGGTGGTGTTTGACTCTTGTTTTCAGCACTATTTTTCGAAAACCCATTAAATCTTCTTTTTCTTTTTCGTTCATTGTTTTGTTTTTTTATTTCCCATTGTTATTTATATATATGTAGATAAATAATATCTTTAGTTGAAATGCAAATAAAGCTTGTTGTATGAGCAAGAACATATAAAATCTCATCGAATACTAAAAAATCAGAAATAGTTATATTTAAGATTCGAAGTACTAATTTTTCTAAAAAAACTAAGAAAAATATTCCAAAATGCTTAAACATTCGATTAAGTGGTCAAAAAATGAACTTGTCTAGTAACATAACTTATCTTGGTGTTGTGTTAGATGAAAATTTTTCAATCAAAATACACATATCCGACCTTACTCTAAAGTTAAGGCGAGTTTCCACTCATCCGTTTTTCAACGGTAATGGGATAGGAAAGGAAAAAATAATCACGTGAGCATGCGTAATAAAAGTTTTTATTTGTACGAAAGAAAACTGCGCATGCTTACGTGATTATTTTTCCGTTCCCTTTCCCTTTCCCGTAGAGGAACGGATGAGTGGAAACTCACCTTTAAGCCGTTCCAACGGCATGTTAGCAAAAGTTCGACATTACGTTAACTTTGAAATATTGCTCTCTATATATCACTCAACTTTTGGTTCACATATACAATACGCATGTCAAGTTTGGGGACAATCTAAAACCGTATGTCTCTTTATAGTTGTTTCACTTAAAAATAGAGCGGTACGGATTATTCATTTTTGTCCGAGAAATTTTCCTACTGACATCCTATATCTTACATCCAAAATTCTTCGTTTCTACGATTTAATTCAGTTCTTAAATTGTTCATTTGTCTGGGATCAACAATATTGTGCCCTTCCTACTATATTTCACAACTACTTTAATAATAGAACAACATGTAGGCATAACCTAAGATCAGTCACTTATAACAACTTAACTCTCCCACTAAAACAGACAAGTAAACATGGAATTAATTCCATTACATACCAGTGTATCTTTTCTTGGAACTCCCTTCCGAACACCCTAAAATCAGGACTCATCCTTAGGTTCAAGAATCTGTTCTTGAAATCACTCCATCATTTCTACCTAAAAGGTTACGCTTAACTTTAGTTTTTAATTTTTTACTTTCTATCTTTTGACGTATTTTTATTATAGTTTATTATTTTATTTTAATTTTATTTTTAATATTTTATTTTAAATAATTATTTTTATTATAACTTACTTATTTTATTATAATTCTTGTTTAAATATATGTACATATATAAATGTACATTATATTAATTATTATATATATTAAAAAGTCTGATTTTTTTGGTATAATTAAATAAATTTTTATGCAATTTTACTTTTATTAGTTAATATTATGTTTACTTATTTAAC